CTAGTCGTAAGTCACTTTTCTCAGTTTGTTGTGACTTCAAAGGGACACTAAACAAATGGTAGTAAGTCAAGGCCCAGCTGGATTAAAATATTGAATCCTTGTTGTGATCCAGCTCCCCAAACATGACAAAACCCTCTGAAGTGAACTCAAAGTTTTCTTTATTAGGAACGCCAGTAGCAAAAAGTTTTTCTCTCACTGCAGGCTAGCAAGTGCAACCGGACGGAAGATGGATAGTTGTCTACCACATCTATTCATCTCTGCCCCCTGCCTTTTATTCCCCAGAGGTAGGGTGGGGCTTTGCTAACAGCTGTGGCTCTTCTGTCCCAAGGACCAGCCCATAGATTTCCACTGCTCTCCTTTCCTCTCCCTTCTGTGCATCCGCATGTCAGGCACTGGACCCAGCTATTCCTCCTCTTCCTCATCAGCCACCTCCAAACTGGGGCCTGTTCATTCTCCATCCAAGGGTTGACGGATAGCCCAGGCTCTGCCTCCCCCACCTCTCTTTTTCTGACAGCTGCATTCCTTCTTCCCCCTTGGAGCTCCCAGGTTGCCTTGATGCTGACCCTGACTCCAATGCCTCCTCCTCCTCCTCCTCCTCCTCCTCCTCCTCCTCCTCCTCCTCTGATTCGGCTGCTGGAGGGGCCGGCGGCTGTCAGACCACAACAATACCCACCTGTATCTTACAGTTGAGGGGCAGAACAATAGTACCACAATACCAGTGATGGGATTCAAACTTTTTTTTATTATCAGTTCTATGGGTGTGGCTTGGTAGGCGTGGCAGGGGAAGGTTACTGCAAAATCTCCATTCCCTCGCCCCACCCCCCACACTAACCTGCTTTCCAGCTCCATTCTCCTGTGCAGGGCAACCAAAGAAGACCCAGTCAATCAGCTGGGACTCAATGGGAGGCAGAGAATAGATAGTGTTGGCAGGGCCAGTCAGAGGTGGGACTTGCCGGTTCTCCGAATTACTCAAAATTTCCGCTACCAGTTCTCCAGAACTGGTCAGAACTGGTTGAATGTACCACCTCTGCCCAGGATACTAGGACCATCATAAATAGGAGCCAGTTTACTTTACTTTACTTTATTGTCATTGCACCTCTTACAACGAAATCAAACCCCATCTCCAGTGCACATCATGATCATGAAAATAAACACAAACACACATCCTTCACCCTCCACACATTGAACCGAAAACCCCCAACACTGCACCCATACTGCACAATACAACATAATTCAAAAGAGCTACTGCCTTTTAGTTGTCAAATATCCAAATGTAGATCACAGGACCGTGGGGATGTGTGAAGGTCATAACTGTGAAAAACGGTGATAAGTCATACTTTTTGTCAATGCTGTTGTAACTTTGAATGGTCACTAAATGAACTGTTGTTTAAGTCAAGGACTACCTGTAGAGTAATCGTTGCTGTAAAAGAGCTTAGACATAGAACACTGATTGGAACCTGGCAAATTGCACTGAGTGATCTATTTCAGTGACTGGTCTGGGCATGATGAGTTGTGGACTCAAAGGACAGCTTCATTGTCGCTTTACTCAGCATACTGGCCTGCTGCTGTGATCTTTAATTTTTCTTCTGGAAGAAGGCCATTGATCAGTGTCATGCCCCACGCTGTTGGGGAAGACTAAGGAAGAAAGCTTCACAGATGCCACGAAGGCATCCTTCCCACCCACCCCCCAAAAAGAAGTTTTTTATTTTTATTTAAAAACAAAACAAAAAACAAAACAAAACCATCTTTCAGTTATACAGTGTGTCGACTGGGTACATATCCCTTGTGCACATATTAATATTTGTATACATTTCTTACTAAGTTTACATTCATATTACAACCTATTCAACATTATATCTCATTATAACAATACCATAATTAATTTCTTACTTTATTTTCCAACCATTTATAAAATAGATCCCAAATCATATAATACTCCTTTTCTTCTTGTTCTCTAATTGCCAACGTTAACCTACTCATTTCTGCACATTCCAATATTTTCTTAATCGCCTCCGCCAGGAAGGCATCCTGAATTCTAATCTGGGGGAAATACCTGGGAAAGATATTTCCAAGTTCTGTGTATTCTGTTCTGATATATTTCTCAGCCTCTTGTAGAGAACTGAAGAAGTTTCTTGGATGAGAAGCAAAACATGTTCAAAGGGAGAAAAAAAAAAACCAAGAAAGTCAAGTTGCCTTTTGGAAAAAGAACGTATTTAGGGTTAAACATGACCATATCTGTTACAAAGCTGAAGAGCCAGCGCTGTCCGAAGATGTCTCCATGGTCATGTGGCCGGCAGGACTAAATGCCGAAGGTGCACAGAATGCTGTTACCTTCCCACCAAAGTGGTCCCTATTTTTCTACTTGCATTTTTCACATGCTTCCGAACTGCTAAGTTGGCAGAAACTGGGACAAAGTAACGGGAGCTCACTCCATTATGCGGCGCTAGGGATTTGAACCACTGACCTTTCTGATTGAGAAGCTCAGCGTCTTAGCCACTGAGCTACCATGTCCCTTCACTAGACTAGATATACCCAGTTCCTGCAACCGTTCTTCATATGTTTTAGCCTCCAGCCCCCTAATCATCCTTGTTCTTCTTCTTTGCACTCTTTCCAGAGCCTCAACATCTTTTTATGTTGTGATGACTAAAATTGGATACAGTATTCCCAGTGTGGCCTTACCAAAACTCTGTAAAGTGGTATTAATACTTCATAGGATCTTGATTCTACCCCTCTATTAATGCAGTCTAGGATTGCATTGGTGGTTTTTTTTTTTTTTTGACTGCTGCCAAATCTATTTTAATTAAAGCAGAATTTTGGGGCTACTTTGAAACTATTCTTTTCCAAGTTTCTCCTCACTTGGACTATGTTCTCACTGAAGAAATCAGCTGTGAGGAGACCCACCTTGTATCTCTGATTGTCTATGTCTGTGTTTTCATTCATTCTTTTCTCAGCCTTCTCAAATCCATAACAATATTCAAGAAAATCAATGAGAGAACAACCTAGAGCCAAGGAGAAATTTCTTGACGGAATAATTAATCAGTGGAACAACCTATCTCCAGAAGTTGTGGGTGCTCTAACACTGGAAGTTTTTAAGAAGAGATTGGACAACCATTTGTCTGAAATGATATAGGGTTTCCTAGTTGGACGAGAAGACCTCCAAGGTCCCTTCCAACTCTGTTATTCTGTTAAAAGCAAATGGAGAAGATCCCAGAAGACAATGTATCAACTCTTGTGCTGTGCACAGGACCCCTTAAGTGAGTGGATTTATATGGAACATGTTGCATCTGATATTCCCCTCGGAATTGAATCAAAACTTGACAAGTCACCAAGCAATTTGTCATGGGAGATACGACTGTATAGTGAAACACACAAATCCATGCATGTCCAACCTTTAAGATGAGTAAAACAACAACAACCCTATATTCCACACTTGAGAATACCACTGAAAGTGTCATAGTCTTTGGAGAAATGATTGAAAGCAACTTCTTTTCCAGTTCTTGAATCAAAATGATCTCATTCCATGGGAGCTTGAATGGAAAGTGGTGCCATGGCTGTTGTTTTGATTGACTGTTATGAAAGCCATTGGTATGAATCTACCCTACGTTTAAAATGATAAATACCAAACATTTTAATTTTGTTCATATCCATCAATGTAAATGAAGCAGACGGATTTGGTATTTTATTTTGAACTGACATCTGCTTAGTAGCACACTTCCCTTCTGGCTTTGTAAAATCCTTTTTGACATTGCTGGCTGACAGTCAGAGGCAAAATTCCATTTTACTTTGGATAATGCTCAAATGGGAAAGGAAAGAAACCACAGGGTTTTCATTAGAGATTGTATTGCGTCCTCCTTCAACCTGTCACTCTCCAGATTTTCTCATTGGAGGCGGTCAGTTTAGGGACAGCAATCTGACGTACCTTTGCAAAAGAACAAATGCTACATTTTAGTGATTGTTTCTCCTTTGGTGGTAGCATAAAAGCAGGAAATAGGGCTAGCGATCTGTAGGAAAGATCTAGACAATAACTGCATAGTAGCTACATAATTTAAAATCCCTAAAGTGCTACACAACGATATCAGGTTGAGCACTGAATATAAGGAAATTAAAAGGGCTACACTCTCACGTTCTCCAAAATAGATAAGAATGATGATGGGAACTGAAGAATTTGGATAGGGTGGGTACAACTTGGTGCAGAAGTTGGCTTATGGTAGAGCTGGCCTTTGAGCAATGCTCATCTTGATCGATCTGTGTAATCCCCAACAGAGACTAATCCAAGAATCTCATAAGCATCTTATGTTAATTTTTATTTTTTGAGCCTCACAATACCAAGCCAGCTGGTATAGCCTAGCAGCTAAGAATAAGCTGAGAACTTCCTGACTCAAATTTTGCTTCTCAGCAGGTAGCGGTAAGCAGACGGCTCTCTTTTCAGCCTCCGTTCCTCCTATGTGCAAAATAAGGAATAATAACATTGTCCTACCGAGTTAAGGTTGCTGTTAGATAATGCGAGTGAAGTGGCTTCTCTCTTAGAAGCAGATGAGGCATTCTTTTTATTCAAGTGGTTGCTGAATTGTAAGGTACAGACATTGTCTGATAACAGAAAAGACAGATTTCTAATCTTCCACTCTTGATTATTACAGATTGTTCGTTTCAAATAACAGAATTGTTGGTCCATGCCAGCAATGTATACTGGTGGAGAAAAGGCAGAAAATGTGACCAAAACAAAATGTCATTACTAGAGGAGAATATTTGTAGCTCGGGGTTGATGTGAGGGATCCTTGGTGCTCTCTAAGTTTGGTTATTTTCTCACAGATGTTTCATTACCCAAACTAGCACTGATAATCATCCCAAAGGTGCTTTTTCAAGAGGCAACTGGACTTTCTGGTTTTTCTTTGAAGGCGTTTCACTTCCCACCCAAGAAGCTTCTTCAGCACTGACTGGATGGTGGGGAATGGAAGGATTTATATTCCTTGCAGACAGCTGGTCATTTTGCATTCTTTTAGAGAGTTGTTGACACCACCTGGAAATTTATCTGTGTCACTGGGGTCACCTGAGTAGTGCAAATTGGTGTGGAGCCTTCTTGGAACTGGTGAAAGGACTGGGTTGTAGACTGGAGATAGATGATGTTGTATCCCTCCACCCTCTGTTGAGGGGGGGGGGCTGTTCAATTTTGACATAGATGGCCTCTTTGACCCCTCTTTCAAACCAGCGGCCCCCTCTGTCCAAAATGTGGAATCTGCTATTTTCAAAAGAGTGGCCTTTGTTTTGTAAATGCAGATGGATTGCTGAATCCTGTCCTGATGGATTCTTCCTAATCCAAATACTTCCATCCCCACTGAAGAAGCTTCTTGGATGAGAAGTGAAACGACTTCAAAGAAAAACCAGAAAGTCCCGTTGCATCTTAGAAAAAGCACCTTTGAGACAACCAGGACCTGGATGGCTGAGAATCTCCACAGACACTTAGGACTACCTAGTTTAGGTAATGAAATATCTGCAAGAAAACAAGCCAAGCTCAGAGAGCACCAAGGACACCTTGAAATGTCACTTCCAGTGTATGGAGACATTTATATATTTTAAAAAAACCACCAAAGTCAGTTTTCTTTCCCTCTGAGTTGATTTCCTATGTTCTTCCGCCCTTCTCTCATTTTCGTAGGCCTTCTATCCAATTTAATTTTAATTGCAAAAATGAGCCAAAACTTAGCCAAGAAAAAGAATCTAGACATCACAGACCAAAGCTGGAAGCTCCAGGCAAAAGCATTTAAGGTTTAGAACAGTGTTTCCTAATCTTGGCCACTTCAAGGTTGGTGATGTTCAGTTCCCAGAATCCATGGCCAGGCTGGTTATGGAATTCTGAAATTTGAAGTTCACACACCTGGAAATTGGCACGGTTGAGAAATGGCTCCCGAATCTATTTCAGGAATCATTTGATGGGCTTCAAATAGATGATGATGATGATGATGATGATGATGATGATGATGATGATGATGATGATGATG